TCAACCATCAGAACTTTAAGAGGAGTGGACTTCGATTCCCAGAATTCCCTGGGCCAGGACAACGATTTATGGTATTTCTCAACCTTCGGAACTTTTAAGAAGAGTGGACTACGACCCCCAGAATTCCCCAGGGAGCAACTGGCTGGAGAATCGTGGGAGTCGAAGTCCACCCCTCTTGAAGAAACATTGGTCTAATGAAGGCTCACCAGACAAGTGGACTCCAGGCCCGATGGGGCTGTGTAAATGCCCCTCATTCGGGAGATGGTTTGATTGTAGTTGATGAACCTCTCGGCATGGATTTGCACATCCGGGGAATAAGGGATCAGGTTTTCTTCCCTGAAATGAGCAGGAAAATATCTCGGTCCCACCTCAGCCATTTAGCATGTGCCTGGAATGCTCTGTCCTAGCTTATTTCTGTTTTTGCTATTTCTCTACTGCTCTTTGCCATTTGTAATGCTTCTTAGGCGACCTTACAAATCCTGGCCAGATTTGACTAGGAAGGTCAACCCAGGCCAGCCAAAACGGGTGGGATTCTACCTTGTCGGACCGGTTCTATGGAACCAGTTGTTACAATTCTGCGCAGTTCAGAGAACCGGCAAATCGTGCCACTGGCTGGCCCCGCCCACTCACTCCTTACCTGGCGTGCGCACCATCCAACTTGCCTGCATTGTGCCTTCACCTAAGGTAAGTTGCTATTTTTCCTTCCCGCCAGCCCCCCGACCATCCGCAGTTCCAACTATCGGCTGTGCCCGGTGATTTAGATTAGCTAGAAAGCAGGAAATCCTTGGATTTCTCGCTTTCTAGCTAATCGAAAAGCAGAGCTGAACCTTCCTTAGGACTGAAGCTTCTATTTTTCAGTGCGGACTCAGGTAGCAGATTACAGATAGATAGATCTCTGAGTGAATCTGTGATTCTGGGAGCAACCCAATCTGCCTACCTGCTTTGCCTGATTTTGGGTAAAAGTTCTTTTTTTATAAAAAAAAATTAGTATTTACATAAATATGTACAATATTTACATACAAACCATGCACACCCAGTCATATGACCGCCAAGCCACGCCCACAAATTAGGCCATGCCCACAGGACCGGTTGTTAAGAAATTTGAATCCCACCCCTGAGACAAAACCCTTCTCCTACTCCACCCTCCATGGTTCGGCTAGATCAGGGGTCAGGGAACTTTTTTACCCCTTACCCCCCAAAAAATTTATAAACGCAGACGTTACCCCTGGCGGAGGAATTCTGGGAGTTGAAGTCCACAAGTCTTAAACTTTCCAAGTTTGAAGACCCCTGGGCTAGAGCCAAGCCACTCCGGCTGTTAGCAGCATGATGTGGACATGTAGCATTTTAAAGACCGCTTGGAAGGTCTGGCTGAGAGAAACCCCAAACCACCCAACTTCAGCTTCCCCTATCTGCAAAGTCCTAAATGCCCACCCCCCGGGATGGATCTCCCCCTCCCCCAATTCCTCACCTCGTTTGCTCTGTGGGGACTTCCGGCCGCCGTGGATCCAGCAAAGCCTTGGGAAGGGACAAAATGGCCCCCGAAGGAAGACCGACTGTGCCCAAAACAAAAATGGAGAAGAGCTTTGAAAAAAGCGGGGAAGCTATTATTCTCGCAATAGATTTGCCAGGGAGGATAATATGTGTTTTTATCTTTTTCTTTTTTAATTCACATTTTTAATGTTCTTGTCTAGTTTTGTTTGGCCTGTTTTCCTTCCTTTTCGAGTCTGCATTTTAATCTTTTACATATTTTTTTTTTTTAATGAGGAAATACAGAAGAATGGAAGGGACCTTGGAGGTCTTCTAGTCCAGCCCCTGCTCGAGCAGGAAACCCTACCCCAAGGGTCTTCAAACTTGGCAAGTTTAAGGCTTGTGGACTTCAGCTCCCAGCATTCCTGTGCTAACATGGCTGGATGAGGAATTCTGGGAGTTGAAGTCCACAAGTCTTAAAAGCTGTCAAGTTTGAACGCCCCTGCCCTATCCCGTTTCCGGCAAATGGTTCCCTGTGTCAACCCTGAGGCTGACCTGACCAGGGCCATTTTGAGGCTTCAGTGTTGCCACACTGGAGTTGACGGATTTGGGGGTGGGGGGGGCATAGAGATAGCTGGGGTTTTGTAGCCAAAACAAAATACTTTCCCCTGGGAACCAAGGACATTCCCACAAGTGGCCAGAGAGAGGAGGAGTGAAATTACCAGGCAACCAGACGGAACCCGATTGGTCTCCTGCTTTGGCGGGGGCACGGGGCGGAGGTTGGACTAGATGACCTAAAAGGTCTCTTCCAACACTGTTAATCTGGACCGTGTGACTGATAAATTTGGGGAAGGGAGAAAAATTTTAATTAGCTGAAAACCGCGAGAACATTCAGAGCCGGTTTTCACCAGATTGTGCCAATCTGATACATCCAAATAAACTAGTTGTCAACTCGTAAATCATTCCTAGGCCTGTTTCCGAGTTGCCATAAGGAGGGGGGGGTGAGGCCTGAGGGAGCAGTGCCCCCAATGAAGGCCTGAAGCACATTCCACGCTTATCTTGTAGATATTGTAGCCTAGGCTACCAGGTCTTCTGCCCATGAAAATCCTTCATTGGAGAATGTGATTGATGACACCGAGCCCGTGAATGTGTTTCATTGGAGAATCTGATTTATGACACACCCAGCGGAGTGGGGAGAAACAGGATCATAGGTGATAGTAAATTACGTGTCTCAGAGTTGGCTTCATACGGGTTAATGCCGGACATGTTGCTCCTAATAAATCTTTGGGACTCTTTTGAAGCTCGGCTCGAGGCTCATGATTTAATTAGGGCAATCGCCAGAATCCTGACACTAGTCTTTGAGAATCTTCCTGCCTTGGAGTTCTGTTCGTTATGGGTGTATTACTTGGAACCCTGACACTCCAATCAGGAGAAAGTTCCTTGGCCAAGAGAAGGCATGAATTCACCAAGGGACAGCGAGTGGCAGTTCAGGAAAAGTTGTCAGCTGAGGGCAACGTGGTGCCCGGTCCAAATTGGGCACAAGGGACGGCACACCCGCCTAATCTGATCTTCCCACAGGAAGCTCTCAAGGGCCTTATCTGTTCCGCGGTGGACCCGCCGGCCTTCCCCTCTGAAGAGGCTCCTCAGTGCGAGCCAGCCAGCTTCCTTGGTTCAGATTTCCTGGGTGGGGGTACGTGTGTGTGAAAGGCAGACCGCCCTCCCTCCCTCCCTCCCTCCCTCCCTCTCCCTCCTGGTTTCCTTCCTTAACTCAGCAGATGGCGACTCGTGACGCCCCGTTCGGTGATGGTAGCTTCCAGGGTGCTGATGGCGGAGGGGAAGATGTAGGACTGCTGCAGCACCTGGGGCGAGTAGGGCCGGTCCAGGGAGCTGAAGGCCGTGGCGTTGTATTGCGTGGTGCCCTCGTACAGCTCCAGCACTGTGAACTCGTTCCGACGGGCCTTGGCGTTCCAATAGAGGTACTGCGGAGAGAAGGAGGGTCTCTAACAATAAAGCCACGTTCCTCAAGTCCATGGAGGTCTCTCTCTCTCTCTTTCTCTTCCTCTTTTTTCTCTTTTTCTCTCCCTCTTTTTCTGCCTTCCTCTCTCCCTTTCCTCTCTCCCTCCCTCCCTCTTTCTTTCTTTTTTCTTTCTCTCTCCTTTTTCCCTTTTTCTTTCTTTCTCTCTCTTTCTCTTTCTATCTCTTCCTCTCTTCCTCCTTCTCTTTCTCTCTCCCTCCTTTCTCCCTCCCTCTCTCTCCCTCTTTCTTTCTCTTCCTCTTTTTTCTTTTTCTCTCCCTCTTTCTTTTTCTTTCTCTTCCTCCCTCCCTCCCTCTTTCTTTTTTTCTTTCTCTCTCCTCTTTTTCCCTTTTTCTTTCTCTCTTTCTTTCTCTTCCTCTCTCCCTCCTTCTCTTCCTCTCTCTCCCTCCTTCTCTCTCCCTTCTTCTCTCCCTTCCTCTCTCTTCCTCTTTCTTCCTCTCCCTCTGTCTCTCATGACTTGGCCCTACAAGCTCCTGCAGCTTTGGGAGGGGGCCAACACTTACCACCACCCAGTTTTCCGAATGGACAATGTGCACCGGCCCCTCGGCCTTCTTCTGCACCGAGGAATGGATGATCCGACCGGTGACGCCGTCGATCAGATAGATTCCAATGAACGAGCGCTCCGGGTGGGTGTCCGTGCTCTCGGTCACCACAGCCAGCAGGTTGGGGTTCAGCGACTGCGAGAAGGGAGCGGGGAGGAATGCAAAGCCCGTCAGTCTTCCTTAGGTAAAAGTCATTGCACAGAGTGGGGAAGGGAAGAAGAACGAAAGAGGGAGAAGAGAAGAGGGGAAGGAACAGAGAAGGAGATAGGAGAGGAGAAGAAAAGAGGAATGAGAAAAGGAGAGGAGAAGGGCAGTAGAAGGAGAGGAGAAAGAAATAGAGAAGAAGGAGAAAATGGCAGGAGAAGGAGAGGAGGAGGAGAGAAGAAAACAGGAGTGAGAAAGGGGGAGGAGAAGGGCAGTAGAAGGAGAGAAGGAGAGGAAAAGCAGATAGAGGAGAAGAGGAAGGAGAAAATTGCAGGAGAAAGGGCAGGAGGAAGAGGGGAGGAGATAGGAGAGGAGAAGAAAAGAGGAAAGAAAAGGGGAGGAGAAGGGCAGTAGAAGGAGAGAAGGAGAGGAGAAGGAGCTAGAGGAGAAGAGGAAGGAGAAGGCAGGAGGAGGAGAGAAGGAGGAGAGGAAGGAGAAAGGGGGAAGAAAAGGACAGTAGAAAGAGAGAAGGAGATAGAGGAGGAGAAGGAGAAAATGGCAGGAGAAGGGGCAGCAGGGGAGGAGGATGAGAGAAAGAGATAGGAGAGGAGAAGAAAAGAGGAAGGAGAAAAGGAGAGAGGAGGAGAGGAGAGGAGAGGAGATGAGAAAGAGAAGAAGAGTAGAGGAGAAGAGGAAGAAGAAAATGGCATGAGAAGGGGCAGGAGAAGAGGAGAGGAGAGAAGGATGAGAGAAGAAGATAGGAGAGGAGAAAGGAAGGGGAGGAGAAGGGCAATAGAAGAAGGGAAGGAGGGGGGAGTAGGGGAAGGAGAAGAAGGGAGGAGTAGAGAAGGAGATAGGAGAGTAGAAGAAAAGAGGAAGGGGAAAAGAGGAGGAGGGCAGTAGAAGAAGAGAATGAATAGGGTGAGGAAAACAAGAGTAGAGAAGGAGTAGAGATAGGAGAGAAGGAGGAGGAGAAGCGGAGAGGAGAGCTTGCTTTCTGCCCCCTCACCTTGTACAGGACGCTGCGGTCGCCCATCACCCGGCCTTGAGAGTGGACATGTTCGTTGGCCCGCTTCCCTTTCACCGTCACAATGCGCTGCAGATCAGGCGGGATGGTGATGTCCCAGGTCTCTTCCGTTGCCAGATCCTGTGAGGTGGGGGGGACGGGGGGGACGGGGAAATAGCCAGTGGGTCAAAGGCTGGTTCACGACTTGCAACACTCCCCTCTTAACTCCCCTGAAAGAAGCGGGGCCCCGAAAGGCGGCTAGTGGCCCCCCCCACCAACTTCGCCTCTGCATTCGTGGGAGCTGGTTATTCCACCCTCATCCAAATGTAACCCGTAACGTCTCGAATTCCTCACGCTTTACAAAATCGGCTACGCATTTCCATTCATACCTGTACCACAGGGGTCCCTATGTGAAACAGCGTCTCACGTCTCCTGCGGAAGGAGCTGCCTGAGTTGCCGATTTGCTTCCGGGTGCAATCCAAGGTGCTGGTTGTCCCCTTTAAAGCCCTTCATGGCTCTTGGGACCAGGTGATCTGAGGGACCGTCTCCTTGCCGGTCACCTCCACCCGACCCAGCAGAGCAGGGAGGCAGGGAACATTGGGGGGTCCCATCCCCGAGGGAGACACACCTGGTGGGACCCAGAAGCAGGGCCTCCTCCGTGGTGGCTCCCTCTCTCCCCCCGCAGAGATTAGAACGGCCCCCACTCCAGCTCTCTTCCGGAAGGCCCTGAAGAAGAAGACCTGGGGAACCCAGAGAGGGATGGAGCCCATGAAATGGCTCGTGTGATCTGCTGTCATTGGGGGGGGGGGGGGGGGGGGGGGGGGTTTTTTATTTTTTTTTTTCCAGATTTTGTTCTATTGTACTTTATTGATTTGATT